ACTGCCTAACAGTTTGATTACCCTGCTTGGTAAGATCTACCTTCTCCTGCAGGTTCGCAATTCTAACAGAGTCTCCTTGACTGAACTTAGATCTGAGATAAGCCCAGGCCTCTGCTGCAGACCTGATATTTCTCAGGCTTGGTACTATATCTTCAGAAACAGAATTTCTGATCCAGCACAGGACAGTTCCATTGCATCTATCCCAAGTGCTGTAAGAAGGGTCAGTAATGGGTGGTACCTGAACTGTTCCATTGATGAAACCCCACTTGTTCTTGGTGCGGAGAGCCACCTCCATGGACTCGCTCCATAAGAGGTAGTTGTCATCGTTGAGCTTGAATCCGATGACTGGGAGGAAGGAGTTGTCACTGGTTGCCAAGTAGAGTGGGTTGGAATAAGGGTCTTCATATCGGTTGGTAAGGGTTTGAGTGTTTCTGTTTGATTCTGAGGCTTGAGATTCATCATCCGCCATTGTAGTAGAAGGAGAATGTGTTTAGAAAGCAGAAAGGGTGAAGGATCAGAAGCCTAACCAGGCTCTGATACCATGAGAAAACTGTAAACCCTAGGTAGATTTAGGGTTTCAGGATGAGGTAGAAGAGAAAGGACAATGACAAAGAGCGGCCGTGTTTGTGGAATTGCCGAATTGGCTTCCATTTTCGATCTTGCATTCATATATATACAAAAGTAAAAGAGGTAAAACTGCAGAGGAAGTACTCTGTACAATCACTAACTATTTACTGTGCTTCTAACGGTAACAAACTAATTATTGAAAAGGACCAATAGCAGAACGCCAGGTGTAAAGCCTTCTTCCTAATCGTTGCCAGCACAACGTTACAACCCGGAACGGCGTCGCATTCATTAGTGTAAAGACACCAAACAAACACGACGCCGTAGCAGCAAACTTCATCTTCTTCCTCTGGTTTGGGTGAAAGGAAGCCCAAACCAGTTCTGTTATTCTCTGTACAAATCGAAGTTCCACCATTGCTGCTGCTTGGTCACCTTCCTTCACAGGTTGTGATCGGAGGTGGGTGCGTCCATGGTGACGGCAGCGAGAGGCTGCGTCCGGTGATTGAGAAGGCTAAAACGAGCCGGAGAGAAAGCAAAGGAGGAGGAAGAAGAAGAGAAGGAAATGAAAGTAGGTTTGAGGGTTTTGGTACTTGGGGACGGGAAGAGAGTGAAAGCTGTAGGAGTAAGAAGAGCAGAGGCTGCTATGGCTGTCTTGGTTACTGCCGCTGAATGCAGAAGAAATGCCATTATTATGGTGGGAGAATAGATTCTCAGAGTCGCACCTCCATTACCCAAATCCTTATTAATTTTTCTTTCGTCTTCGGCAGACTTTCTGGAGGCTTCTGGCTTATTTTGGTTATCTTTTTTCTCTCGTTTTTTTTTTATTAATATATTTATATGATCTGAAATTTTTACATATTATACATTTTGATCAATTTTTTCAGAGGATTACTAATTGTCACCCTAAATTTTCTTAATCGTCCTAATTTAAAATTCAATATTACCTTTTTATACTTTGATCTTCATTAATCTCTATTGCTATTTTTTTATTATTATTTTAACAAATACAACCACCCAACGACAAAATGCTAAGTTCATCTTCTACCGGCCTCTCGCCATTTGCTGCTGTCATTATCCGCCAGTCCGCCACCGCTACCCCCTCCGTCGGCCGTGAAAAGAAGAAAAGGTAACCAGTGCTAAGAAAGGCAAATCAGTTTAAAGGGTTAATTGCATGATTGGTCACTGAGATTACAAAAAAACGTTCAAGTTTGGTCACTCCAAATATTTAAATCCATTGGTGATACTTTAGTTTACTGAAACCGTTCACGTTTGGTCACTCTCCGTCCAACTCCGTTAATTTTGGCTGATGTGGCAGTCAACTCTCAAAGTTGACCGTTAACTTAGTGACGTGGCAATTAAGAAATAATAAATAAAATAAAATTTAATCTATTTTAATGTCCAACTCCTTTTTAGCATTAAATAAATATCTACATCTCTACACATATTATAATACGCCGAAAGGAAAAACGGGAGGCCCATTTCAAATTTCCTGCAACGAGAGTGAAAGTAGGAAGGACATTTTGGTCTTCACAATTACTTTTTTTTATTCATTAAAAAGACAAATACTGGGATTCGAACCATGACCATTTTAAAGAAAAGCAAGGATCATAACCAATCACACTAAGTACATTTGTTGTATATTTTTAAATTAAAAACATATAGTAGCAGGGAGGAAAAAACCCTTCCCCCATTTCAAATTCCCTGCTCCATGAGCGTTTGTAGGAAGGGTAGAATAAGGAGTGTCAATTTTTTTCTCTTTCCTTTGTGGAACGGGCCAACTTACCTTACACATGCGAATTTAAACGGGTCCAGGAGTGTCAATTTTTTCTTTAAGCCCTTTTATTTCTCCGTGGTGATAAAATATATATGAAAAGGCAAAAACAATACTCCTTTTTATTGCTACAAATAAAAAATTTAACAATAAACTAATGCATGGTATCTAATGAGCTAATCGCTAACCATAACAACCTACACGGGGTTTGGCCATCAAGTAAAATAAATGAACATCATTGGTTTGTCATTCCAAAACAAGCTATTTTCTCTGACATATTATATATTATGCTATTATTTTATATCTTAGTGGCTAAATTATAATGTATTTTAAAATTATTCAATGGTTCAACCTCGACCAACCCAATTATTTTAATTTTTATCATTTCAAATATATATTATATAATCATTTGATATCATAATGATCAAATTATAGTGTATTTTATAGGGAATCGTTTGGTATTTGTTAGTAAAAAACTAAACATAAAGATCTATTTGGTTATTTTAAACATTAAAACGATCCTAAACATTTTCAGTTTCTTTTGAATTTCTATGGTTTTATTCCCGAATAAGTGATGTGCAAATGGTGAATTGTAGTCGTCTCTTTTCTTTCACTATTTTTTATTTTCAAATAGAAAGTTTAAAAGTAAAAAATAATTAGAATTTGGCATGGGTCAGTCAAACATGCTAAATTTCAAGTTTTGGCCCGTTTGTTTTATGCATTGCAAATTTATTAGCATGTTGATGGAAATGGCTTGGAAAGAAGACATATAAGTTGTACCTTTGCAGAAATGTCCTCAAATGTTTGAATGCTTTGTGAATCAGGTTCCGTGACTTTTGTGATGGTGTATGTGCTTGACGATTGCTCGATGTTGTAACTGCTTAATTTGAGAGTAAATCTTTTGATTTTCCCTATGAGTTGTGATACCAGTTCTGGTGGTTGCAGCATGTTGTCGTTGTTGGCCTGTAAAAGTTGTTCCGCCGTGATGCTAAATACCTTTCTTTCCTTTTTAACAAATTGTGTAGTAGTGCTATGAAACAGACCACCCATGAACGCTACGCTTATTATGGTCTGTTCTTACTTCCAGTGGTGAGAAATTGTGAATTGAGAATCATATTCGCCTACCGCACTGTGTCTGGCTGGTGGCTGCTTACTGTGATCTCTAGAGTTATGAAACAGACTACCCATGAACGTTACCCTTAAGGGTCCATAACTTTGCGAAAAACCAAATTTAGGCAATCAAAGGTGTTGGATGTGTGATGATTTTTTATGGCTTAATTGTTTGTGAATTGGATATCTGATCTTTGTATGGTTAGAGGGGATGTTTGCTTAATAGAATAATTCATCTTAATTCATGTTTATTTTTAACATGAACTTTAGTAACTCAAAACCTTCGAGACACATATCACCTACTGCATTGTATCATTTTGCCTGGGTGCTTGCTGTGTTGTCAAACTTTTTTGCTGCTGCTGCTTTTACACTAACAAGGGGTTAAGAACTCATTAATGTTTCCGTTTGACACAAACAGGAGGACTTGCTTCTAAATCGTGCAATAAAGATGATTGGAGGAAACATCTCTGTTGCAGTTGATATACGGTAGACCAGAACAAAAGCAACATATAACATCAAAACCAACCATCTGAACTATTAGCATTGTTTCTTTACACTTTTTTCGTGGTTGAGTCTCCTTCAAAAAATTTAGTTTGATTTTAGAAAATTTTGCTTCTGCAGTCCTGTCTTGCCACCAACGCGTTCAGTAGATGGAGATGGCAGAGGCGAAGGCTATTTTTGTGTTGTTGTTGCTGGTTTAGGGATCGGTTTGTGAAGAAGAGGGAGAAGAGAGGGGGAAAGGGAAATGCAGGAGAGGGGGATAACTCTTTTCTCCGACAAAAATGGAGTGAAGAAAGGAATTATGATCAGTAAGGATATGGTTATCTTACCTAACGGTCTCTATTTTGTTTGAATTGAGCTTGGGAGGCAGTGATAAGGACGAGCTGCAACCAATTCATAGTGATAAGAGTGCTATGAACTGTGATCATGTCTTATTTCAAGTTAGAAGGTAGTTTCAGTATAAGGATGATTTAATTTGACAAGTTGTTCCGTCCATGATTCTTGATAGTTTCAGTGCCATTCTAGCCATTGTTTAGTCTGTAATTTTTGAGAATTGATGTGCGAGTAATGACTTTCACTTAGCTTCAACTATTATGTGTGTATTTATTGGCATGTGATAGAATTCACTTTTCCTTTTCTTTGAATTCAGTTTCATACTCTAATTGTATCATTTGTACATAGGCAAATCATGCTCGAGATGACAACTCGCTGATATGGCTGGATGCCCAGGACTAATTCAATGGTGATTGATGATGGTACAATAAAAATTGCAGTCTGCATCAGCACCAATTTCTAGGCCTAAGTAAAGTTATTCAACCCAGAACTCTGCTTAGCGCTAAAAATTGCCCTCACCCAACTTTCATCCTGTTTGACCCACTTCTGAAGAGTCAAGATATATGACTAATTCTCTCTGTTCGTATTTTCTTATTGACTCTTTCTGACCCTTTAGGTTGGGGCGGGGCGGGAAGAATCGGATTAGAGGGTCGGTCCTAATCAAGTGGAATCCCAATCCCTTCACTCTCACTTGCTTTCTCTACCATTCCAAAAGTGGGTAACATAAAGTAATCCGGCCAACGGGCCGGGTAATAAGCTAGTTATAATCTAATGTCCAACTCATTAATTAAAACCAAATCTCATCTCCCCGACCCAACATCTTCTCTGGCTTGTTCAGCGAGCAGAGCAGAGGAGGTAGAGCGGCGACTGACGAACTCGTCTTCTTCTCCGACTCGACGCCTTCGTCTCCGGCTTGTAGAGGCGAGCAGAGGAAAGCAGAGCGATGACGATCGATGAAAAAAACGGCAGAGTGGAGGGTGGAGCATGAGGGAGGTTGAGCAGATGGGAGGCTCGAAAGAGGGCGGTTCAGGTTCTTTTTGGGGAAGATGCAGACTCTATGAGTTCTCTCCTCCATTAAACGTCCATAAGACCCCCAATCGGACTGGAACTGGAAGCGATTTCTTTCGCAGCAGCTTGGAGTTCTCTCGTCTCTGGTCGGAATCAATCCACCACCAGCCGTCGATGTGCTTTCTTCTCTAGCGCTTCTAATTCCCTCTCTTCTTATCGTCGCCAGCGCCATCGCTGTCAAATCTCATCTCCTCTTCGACTCTTCCTTCGACAAAGATGCAACCAACTGTTCATCTCCCACCAACGCACATAGCTTCCTAGATAATAACATGAACATTTGCTTCCATGGGACATTCATTCATCCTGCTTCGACTCTTCCCTCGGCAAAGATATGGCGAGCTTTTCCATATCCAAAGAGGCTTGATTTTTTATTTGGTTTTTTGTACAGAAATAGACTATTTGATTTTTTATTCCCAAACAAAACAATTAAGTAGAAGAACCCAAAAGCTGCAATTCCCCTTCACCTGTACTCACCCGACAAAACTTCTGTTTCCTCTTTACTAATCCCAAATCAAGCCAAAGAACCAGAAAAATCCGGCCACCAGAGAATGCGATTATCTTGGTGAGGGCAAGGAATTGGCAGGAGAAATGAAAAACTCACCAGCAATTTGAGCTCCAAACAGTCGATACATTCAACGTTGCTAGTAGGAGTGAGGGCGGGCGGCGGTGGTTCGAGGACGTAGGTGTCTTCAAGGGCCGATCTCAGAACAAAGCTCCCCCTCATCCTCTTGGGACCGCAAGAGCTGACGGCGAGAAGACGATGGTTTGTGTATGGGGAAAGGGAAGGAGCTAACCTCGATTCGGTGGAAACTCTGGCGTGGATCGAAGAACCAGAGGAAGCAAGAGCACAACGACGGTGGGTAGAGCGAGGAGCTTAAGGAAATAATAAAATAAATAAATATTTTTTATTTTTATTTTATGGTAAAAAATGAGTTGGACATTAAAATAGATTAAATTTTATTTATTATTTCTTAATTGTCACGTCACTAAGTTAACGGTCAACTTTGAGAGTTGACTGCCACATCAGCCAAAGTTAACGGAGTTGGATGGAGAGTGACCAAACGTGAACGGTTTCAGTAAACTGAAGTACCGCCAATGAATTTAAATATTTCGAGTGACCAAACTTGAACGTTTTTTGTAATCTCAGTGACCAACCATGCAATTAACCCTAAAATAAATGATTTCTCAAGCTAATCCAACCAATTAAATTAGTGTTGTTTGTCCCATAATCCCATTGGAGGTTCCGACCTGGGAAGCTGTTTGAAGCTTGGGGTAACCGCTTCTCCTTTCCAATTTTGAGAAGGAAACCTTGTGTTCTTGGGAATTACTGGATCCCCAATCCAACTCCCACACGTTATTAGTAACTGTCTCAAGCTCCGCTACGTTTCCCCTCTCCCTTAAATCGGATCGACTAAAGTTCCGTTGAGGAAAATAGGTAAAATAGAGACCATAGCTAATGAGCAATTCCAGATTCTCGAACTCGTTTAGAGAGCAGGTGATCCGCGACGGAGGTTGTTTGGGTTGCAGGGTCATTTGTTTAGAGAAGGGTAATTTAGTAATTGTTTATTTTAAATTAGGGCGATAATAGTAAAATTAGGGCGAGGTTTAGCCATTCAGTTTTTTTATCTACAATTTGATGGCCTCAATTATGCACCAAAATTACGAAATTGATCAAACCCAAAATTTGACCGTTATCTTAGATGGTCAGACGTATTAACTAACAGTCAACGCACTAGTTCACTTGCTCACTGCCAAATCAATAGAGACCACTCAAAATATTTGATCTTTTCTACCTATTGCCATTTATTTTTAATGTCTTTTCCTTTTCCTTTCTCTTTTTCCACCTATTACTAGGACCAACACTTTTTTCGCCTATTATTTAATCGGTACCTGTTGAAGCCTCCTCGATCTACCAACTTCCTTCACGCACCGAACTCCTTGCCTTCGTGGAACCACCTGCACCCAAAGAGGTGGGCCTCGTGGCCCGTTAATCCTCCAACGCTCAAGTCAGGCTTTTTCTTAGTGAGAGAAGTAATTTTTCCCAAAGTTTAGTGAGAGAAGGCAAAGTGAGTAAATGCTTACCAACCTCGCTATTTATAACTGTTCATCGCTTACCTGGATCTCTTCATACGGACTTCCACATCACCACCGCATTTAATGCAAGAGTGATTCTAGGCGCCTGCTTTGGCGTTCATAACTACCAGGCGCACACCAGGCGCCTAACGCACACTTACCCACGTCCCTGCTTCATCAGGCGCCCGGATCGACACGCCTTTCCTGCCCAAGCCGATAGGCATTGGTCATTGCCCAAATCATTTTCTTGAACCCACTTCCGGGTCTCAATTAGACATACAGGCCCTGCCTCTTCTCGGGCTACTTGGACCCCATCCCTCTTACTAGGCTCAACCACGTGTCAGGGCCTTCTCTGATCTGAACACCCCCAACAATATCCACGGCGAATTCAGGGTCTGTCAGTGGGTCACGGTCCAGTACTCCTCTCTTGAATTCAAAGCTAGTATAATCCTTGTAAATTTTCGAATTTAGATATTGTTTTAGTACTTATGGATCTAGTACTCCTCTTCACCTCTTTTTAAATGTGGCGCAGTATTCTACCCATTCCTCAATGCCCCTCTTTCTTGAATCACCGGTACTTGCGCAGGAATACGAAAACTGCCCCAAATCTTGCCGGCCGGCCAGAACACTCCAATGGCTCAGCTACGTACTTCGTCGTGATAGCTTTAACGTATACCCTCACGTAAATACATACACAGACGAAAAACAAACCTAGGCTACTACTTAACTTTCCAGATTTTCATCATTGTCCAATTAATGAATGTCCACGTTTTGTGATCTCCCTACTTTCCACTTTTCGCCGTCTCATTATTTTGTTTTCTATTAGGAGAGAAACAACCAAAGACAAATTCTATTATGATAGGAACAAGATATGTATAGAGGAGTACAATACTATTTTCTAACTAAATCCTATCAGCTCCAAACTAAATTATTTTGCAGTCAAACAAGGAAATAGCTAGCCCACAGGTGCTATAGAATTTGAAGGGGAGAAAAGACTAGTAAAATAAGAATGAACCTGCTACAATAAATCCGAAGTTAATCAACTAAGCTACAGAGTACTGTTTCCTTCCCCCACTGCGAACTATATATTTCCAGCTAGCTAGCTCGCTCCCCAAAAACCGAACTGTGTACCACTTAACAAAGATGAGTACCATTACCACCATGACCCAACTTCTTCAAAGCTTAACTTCTTCTCTTCTACTAATTATGATCACTACCCTCTTTTTACTCTCCTCCGGCTTATCGGAACAAGCTGTTTCCGGTGACGGGGAGTTGAGAACTTACATGGTCCTCTTGAGACGACCGGAAGGTGCAGCGTTTTCTCTCCAATCAGCCGATGACGTGGACGAGTGGTACCATTCATTCTTGCCTCCAAGTACTGCTTCAGAACGACAGCACCCGTTGGTTCACCGTTACCGGCACGTGGTGACGGGGTTCGCCGCCGAACTGACGGCGGAAGAAGTGAAGACGATGGAAACGAAAGAAGGGTTCGTGAGAGCCTGGCCGGACAAGATTCTGTCTCTGGCCACCACGCACAGCCAGGAGTTCATGGGATTGCACCAAAACGCTGGCGTTTGGAAGTCCACTAACTACGGCAAGGGAGTCATTATTGGAGTTGTGGACACAGGAACAACGCCAGGTATATATATGTTTAATTAATTTTAATTACTTCGTCGGTCGGTCGGTGTAATGTTTTAATCTCATTTCTTATATCTGATTCTGACCTCATGATTTAAAATCAAGGATACATATTTTGGTTAATTATGCAACTTACTTAACCAAACCTAAGAATCAAAACATTTTATGGTCTGGTAGTATAACAACTTTCAATCATACATCGAAAGCCATAAAAATCATAATCGTATTGTTTGTTCGCTCAATAATCAATCACATGAATCAATTAAATTAGTCACAAATATGATGGTACAAACGATTGTATTTTTCTTATTTAAATTGTCTAACCTAATCTTAGCAAGCCTTGGATATTGTGGTAATCATACTACTTCCATTGATTGATGGATAATTATGGCGGAAAAAAATTAATACTCACATAATTTTACCCAAATGTAACCATGATTTACAGGTCACCCATCATTTAGCGACGAGAAGATGCCTCCGCCGCCGGCAAAATGGAAAGGTAAATGTGAGCTCGCCTACGGCTCCACTTGCAACAAAAAGCTAATTGGGGCGCGTAACTTCTACGCGCCGGGAACTCCTATGGCCGACGACGACAACGGCCACGGCACCCTCACTTCGAGCATAGCAGCGGGCAGCCCGGTCAAAGGCGCGAGCTTGTTCGGGCAAGCGAACGGGACGGCCGTCGGCACCGCACCGCTGGCCCACGTGGCCGTCTACAAGGCCTGCAGCGCCGACGGAGGGTGTCCTCAGAGCGCCGTGCTTGCCGCGATCGACGCCGCCGTGGGGGACGGCGTCGACGTGATTTCGCTCTCCATGGAAGCCGACTCGGTCCCTTACTACGAGGACCCAATTGCGGTTGGAGCGTACGGGGCGATTCGGAAGGGAGTTTTTGTGAGCTTGGGAGCTGGAAACGGCGGCCCAGCCGCCGGCACCGTCGTGAATGATTCGCCGTGGGTTCTGACAGTCGGGGCCAGCACGATTAACCGGAAAATAAAAGCGACGGTGCTTTTGGGTAATAACGCGGAGCTGGTCGGCGAGTCCCTCATCCAGCCTCGCGATTTCCCGTTGACGTTGTTGCCGCTTATTTACGCCGGCGCCGGGACGAATGCATCTTCTGCTTTCTGCATTCCAGGTTGGTCAAGTTTTTATTTATATTTTTATCATAGTTAGTAGAATATTGAAATAGATAGTCATATAGTCGACAAATAGTCGATTTGTCGATGATAGAGTCATTTTAGCCATACCTGATTTTTCCGTGAAGAATAAAAGGACATAAAAAAAAGTAGAAAAAACTGGATAGTCTCATATGAATTTCTTCAAACAATGCACTACCCAAAAAATTTAATTATTATATTTCCTAATAAAGTCGTTGATTTATGTTAAGGGATTTATTATAACTTGATATCTATGGGTTAAAAGTCAATAATTATATCAAGATTTGGATTTAGACTAGTGAATATATAAGGGCTTGAACTAATGCTAAATCATTAATTTTGAGCATAGAAATATAAGTACCTAACTATAAAAATCTAAGTAGTGAGTAGACAAATTACAGCGCAAGGCTCTGAGGCATAAGAATTTTCCATTACAATCTTCTCACCATTTCGTTTTGTCTCATTTCAGGATCGTTGAAGACCATGGACGTTAAGGGGAAAATCGTGCTATGTACCAAACTAAATGGCAGCAACAGAGCAACAAGAATTGCCGCGGGCCAAGAAGTGAAAGACAACGGCGGCGCCGCCATGATCCTAATGAACGAGCAAGCTGGTGATTCCGTCACTCCACCCGACCCGCACGTGCTCCCGGCGTCGCACGTGAGCCACGAGGCCGGATACTTCATCAAAACCTACATAAGGTCAACGCCGTCGCCGACGGCCACCATCGTGTTCAAAGGGACCGTGCTGCTGGTCCCGGACGCTCCCCAGCTCGCCATGTTCTCATCAAGAGGCCCAAGCCCACAAACCTCTGGGATCCTGAAACCGGACGTTATTGGGCCTGGGGTGAACATCCTGGCAGCCTACCCAACATCACAGGAAAATACCCAAAACACGCCCTTCGCTATGGCTTCGGGGACTTCCCTGTCTACTCCTCACCTGAGTGGAGTTGCTGCTCTAATCAAAACCGCTCACCCTGATTGGTCACCTGCAGCTATAAAATCCGCCCTCATGACCACTACATTTGTACTAAATCTCAACAACAAAGGTATCGTCGACGAAGATTTCCACAGCGTTGGGTGTTTCGATATGGGCGCGGGTCATGTTAACCCAGAGAGAGCGATCCACCCGGGTTTGGTTTACGATATCGAACCAAAGGATTACGTGGGTTTTATGTGTGGTATGGGTTACAATGACACGGAAGTTAGCGTCGTTGTGAATCGTGGAGTAAGCTGCTCGAACCGGTCTAGCATTACTGCTTCTCAATTGAATTACCCATCGATTTCGATCACGTTGGGTTGGACCCCACAGACTTACACGAGGATCGTGACGAATGTTGGAGTGGCGAACTCGACTTACCGGGTCAACGTTGTCGAGCCGGAGGGTGTTTATGTCAGAGTAACACCCACCATACTCGTATTTCAAGAATTGAACCAGAAGTTGACGTATTCGGTCACGTTTAACAGGAAGCAAGGACTCATGAGATCTCGTGCACTGGCACAAGGCTCGATGAGTTGGTTTTCTTTCAGTGGATTTGTAGTTACAAGTCGAATCACAGTCCATTGAATACTGACCAATTGATTCATGATATATACTGGGGTTGTAGAATTTGCCTTTCCGACGTGCTTGTATTTGCTAAGAACAACTTTTAGCTATTCGTGCACGTTGTATCGATTGGTTTTTATGCCATGAATGTATCATTTGAAGTGGTTAGAAATGTTGAGGGCAAGTAATTTTGATTAAATAAAATCATGATGTATTTGGGTTCTATATGAGTGTGATTAATAGATTCTAGCATTATTTTGAATCACAAATTATTTTACGTGATTTAGATATATAGAACATTCATTGACAAATCAGTGGAGATCATCAGGGACGGAGCCAGCTCTATGGGAGGAGGGGCCATGGCCCCCCCTAAATTTTTTGGTAATGAGTTTATACATATAGATGGAAGGTAGTTTTGGTGGGAGTTCTTGGTCTAGCTTAGTGGAAACCCTCCTAAATTGTTACTTTACTCACAATTAGCAAGAACTCTATTGAACCCAACATTCTGCTTCATTTTATACGCCTAAAAGAAAACTACAATAATTTTAATTGAATCATTTTGCTACTCTAGTCAACTATAATTAATATTTTTTACATGCTATTAATTAAAGATGTGTGGTGGGGGAAGTCTATACACGTATTATTAAATATGGTGCATCTTGTACCTATGAATTCAGTGAAGAATAGAGTACGTAATCATGAGTTTCATTTTCTTGTTTTATAACTGTTAGTTAAATTTATTGCCATACATTATCAATATGTCAACCATAATTTGATCGATATTGTAAGAACCAGTTGATTCTAGAAATACAAGTTGTCGTGAGAGATTCAATAATGGATATGATACCACATATTAGCAAGCCTTTTCAAACGAAAGTCACTAACATGTGCTTCAAGTTTCACACATCCGAAATACTATGTGCTTAACAATTGAGGTTGTCGGGATTGGAATAGTAGACCTTTCGATTACAGAAGAATATGATATTATGTCAAGTACCAATTCAGGATGCCAATAACTCAAATTATTATGAGAGATTTTATAGTGAATTTTATATCATATACTAACAGAAGTTATATATTAAATCTTCTATTTTGTATATTTAGATTATACGGTTTATTATAAATTAGTATATAATATTTTAACTATGTTTATATATGTTATGCATGTAATATATGAATATTTTTGTGAAATATTTTCATTTCTACGAAGAAATTTTAGGTTTATTATAAATTTGACTAATTCTATCAATTTTTTTCTTTTTATACAAATGTTATATTTTGGCCCCTCCTAAATCAAAATCCTGGCTCCGTCCCTGGAGATCATGCTTTCATGCCTGAGCTTAGTGCGGTCTAGAGGTGGTATTTGGTTGGTGGATTCAAGCTTAAACATTTTTAACCTCTGAAGTGATTCGTTTGAACTTTGCAAATCCATCAGCTTAGCTCCCATTACTACGGGAAAAGACACTTCTTGCAACACGCGGATTGCAACACTATTTGAAAGTGTTGCGCTAGATATACAATTGCAACCTTTTTTTATGAAGTTGCGTATTGAGTAGTTTTCGCAACCCAAAGTGATAATATGTTGCATTTGTTCCATTATATGCAACACATATATGTAAAATAAATTTTGGGTTGCCTATTAGTATAGTTTATCCAACACTTGATGTAATTGTGTTTCAAAAACATCAATTTTACTATTGAACCTTTGCTGTAAATCGGCAGTTAAATAAAAATTAAATAAAAAATGAAAGCCACTAATAGAAAAGAAAAGGAAAAACTAATAAACCATAAAGAAAAGGAACAGTCAACGAAACTTTACCAAAATTAAAGTCTCGCTACATACTTCTATTCCCAGAATTCCCCGCGCGAGGTAGAACTTCTCCCGTGTTCATCAGCCGAAATAAGCCAGAAGCAGGTGAGATCCGGCCATCGAAGGTCACATATTGCTTACCCGACGCCGACGGTACAACTCCCCCACCCCAATCAAGCATCCTCCGCACTCTTTCCTCTGATCGTCAACAGCGGCGCCTTATTACGGTGGGTTCTCCTTCCCCTGCTCGCCGTTCTCCTTTTGTCTTCCCCTGCTCTTCTGTACCGGTTCTAATTTCTTTCTAGAGCTATACTACTTTGTTTGGCTCCAGAGCTGAAGATGGTTGGTGATTGTAGTTTGTTCTTGAGCTTCTTCTTAAGTGTTTGTTTAATAGTTCTTTATGTGATTTATCCCTTTTAGTCCTTCGGAATTGTGATGTGGGAGTTCCTTACTAGAGAAGAACCTTATACGGATTTGTATTGTTCCTCAATAATAATAGGTATCCCTACATCCATTATGGTATTAATTTTCTTGGATTAGTATATACTTCAGAGCTTAGATGCTCTGGATACAGGTTAGTTGACTTGAGATATCTTGGTTTATTTGGAACATGGTGACAATTTGATTAATCAAAACTGATCTAGCCTTTTCCATGTGTGGCAGCTAGAAATCAATTACCGCTGGAAAGAAGAATACATGAGGAATGAAGAACTAACGATTACGCCATAGAAATCAGGTTCTACAACTCAAATGCGTTAATCTGAACTCAAAAGTTATCTTGAAGAGCTGCAAAGGATTGGTGCTTTAAATAGTCTGCTCTTCGCCGCCCTGTCAAATTGTTCTACAACAACCGAAAGTAAAGATGGACTAGAGTAGCAATCAACAGGTAAAAGAGAATGTATGAATATGAAACTATCGTTGCCAATCTGTATGTTTTTGTTATGTCCATTTAATACTTTAGTTGGGGAAAGAGGAGAAGTACATAGAAATTGGGAGTATGATTGATTGAAGCTGAAGGAATTACTTGTTTGCCAGACTTTGTGTTGTGTTGTTGCTACTACTGTTTTGCTATGCGCATTTTCACTTTCTGGTTAGTTGACATTTTTCATTTGCTCTATCAATCAAGCGAGCAATGCAGCTGCAGAATCGTATAAAAACTGCTTTGCTTTTTAGCATTGATGGGAAATTATTCAAGAAAAGCAAGTCATTATAGGTTGTCGTCCAGTCCCAGCAACATAGATAAACCCACACAAAGCTTAAGTTTAACGAATATTGCTATTGATCTTGTTTACTGGTACTTTGTATGTTCACTTCCGGCTGAAATTGCACTTTCCTCTTTGTCCTTACCTTACTTTATAAACTCACTAATTCAAGTCATTCATTTTGCAGTTTTTTTATTGGAAATGGACAAGAGTTGGTTGTCAAAACCACAAGTGAGTACTGCCTATGGTAATGGAGTAGAGAGTTTTCTCGACTTCGCATTTGCTAATTCAGCTGAGGGGAATGGGATTTTGTGCTCCTGGGTGAAGTTCAAGAATATGTTTTGACAAACCAGAAATGTGTATAGAATTTGTCACGGCTGCTAACCCATTTGCATATCGCCTGTTTTATTATTTTCATTACTTTGGTCCTTCTGCGAGATTATGATTGTGTTGAGAATGCAATTATCTGTTATTAATAGTTGGAGCTGTTAGAGTAAAAAAAAAGTTGGAGCTGTTAGATTTAATTTGGTGAGTCAGCCAACTTCCATAGGTCATCTTCTTCTATATTAAAGCACTTCTTGTAATCAAGTCTTGTAGATTGGGATCAATTAAAGACAACAAATTAGGTAAGGCAAGCAACATAAGAGTACAAGAAAACCACCAAACTGCCATCAATTTCAAGGTTGAAAATCAGACTTCTGAGTTCTGATCCATATTTTGCCAAATCAAGTTACTATTGGGTTTGAGTGAAATGGAAATGAAAGAAAAATGCTCATTTATACTACATTGAACAGGAAATAAAAGAAGAAAAGAAAGCTTGTTTGTGCAACATTAATAAATAAGAAAATTTGGGTGGAGATGGCTGATGCCCTTGCCGCCAAACCTAGGGTCCAGCGCGTGCCAATTTGAACTTTTTTTTTTTTTGGTGAGAACCAATTTGAACTTTGTACGCCCAATTTGAACTTTTACTTAATGAAATTATAGGTCACCCGGAAAATGAGAATACATGAGAAACCAAAAATGGATATAAACGTTTAGTGGTGCTCTTTGAAAGGTCTAGTTATGGTTGCTTTTCAATGGAATGTGAAAGTAGTTATTGATAAAATCAAGAATGCATATAGTTTTTGCAGAAGCAGCTTCTGGCAGGAGCTTTTAGAGAAGTACTTTTACAAAAAAGCAGTCGAGTGTTTGACTATAAAATTATTAGAAGTGCTTTTTAATATGAGAGGTTGTGTAAAATGACTAAAAAGGACTTATAATATAAAATATGAATAAAAATTCTAAACAATAAAAAATAGTCAAAATGGATCTTGTTAGATTTCTTTTATATTAAATATATAATTTTATATTTTATTTTATTTTTAAAATGATATAAGTGAGGGAAAATTAAAATATGGTAAGAATAATCTTGTATTTTCTGAAAGAAAATTAAAATATGGTAAGGATAATCTTGTATTTTCTGAAAGAAAATTAAAATATGGTAAGGATAATCTTGTATTTTCAAAACAGCTTTTCGTAGAAGCTCCAAATCGGAGTTTCTGCTTTTATGTTATACAAAAGCATTTTTCGGCTTTTCAAAATCCGAATTTTTAGAGGTGTTTGGCCCTGTTTCAGCTTTTGAAGCCGAAAAACACTTCTAAAAGTCGGACCAAACATAGACATTGCGTTTTGATTTTTGCGTATGAGTGATGGGAGAGTTGTTATTTGTGAATAATTGTATTTATGTTTCCTTCGTATAAGTGAGCTACTAATTAAAAAGAAAATATATTAAAGTTGACGACAACTTAAAAGTTAAAATTCAAAATTTTCAAAAGGGAGGGATTGCGCCTATCTCCCTAAATTAACTATTATATAAATGCATCCTCAACTCTGTTGTTCCGTTCCTTAATCTATCATTAGGGTTTTCGTTTCCATATATCGGCGCCAGTAGTCTTTTTTTTTTATTAAGCATCTTAATCTCTAATCTAATAACGCCTTTTTCTAGTTTCTGGCTTCACCAACAGATCTCG